CTGTGGGCCTCTGCTTCATCCCCATCTCAGCATACGGCACCTCCATTCTTACAGCTGCTTAGGCCAAAAAGTGTGGTGTCATCCTTGACTTTTCTTTCTCACACCCTATCCTACCCATCAGAAATCTGGTCAACTTTGTCTTTAAAATAGATCCAGACAAAGGGGAAGGGGAAATGGGATGGGTAGGGGAAAGGAAAGAAGGGAATGGGATTAATACAAGAAAATGAAAAATTGGAAACAAAGTCTTTGTAGATAGGGAAGGATAGAGGGATCGAAGGGAGGGCAGGGGAATGGAGAAAAAATAAGAACCAAGATGAATTATGTAAAGGTGCAAATTCCCAATGATGAATGTTGTTACATTGTATACCTTAAATGTACCAGTAAAATTAATGTAAAAAAAATAGACCCAGATCCAACAACTTTCCACCCTCCACACTGGTAGATTCCAATCCAGGACTCCACCATCTCTAACAATTCTCCCTGTTGTTTCTTCTACTGATCCACGATAATCTGAGAAGCCAGAGTGATCTTTTTAAAATACGAGGCAGAAAGTATCATGCTTTTCTCAGACACTCTAACCGTGTCTCAGCTGACACCAGTTAGAATCCAAATATTCAGGTAGAACCACCCTTAGCATGGCCTAGAATTCTCCAGGTAGCTCACAGAGAGCTCTGTCCTCAGAGGCTACTGTTCTCCCTGCTCACTGCACTCCAACTTCTCTGCCACTTCTGAGTCTTTGCCTCTGCAGCAGAGTCTTCCTCCGGGTCTCCAAAAGGCTCCTGCAGTTCATTCAGGGAGACTTTTCTTGACCACCCTATTAAAAATAGCAACAAGGGCACCCAGGGGAACACACATATACACTCTCACACCACCATCACTCTCTATTCTGTCATCTTCCTTGGACTTTTTTCATCACTTATCCCACTTGATATATTATGAATTTATTTATTGATTGCTATTCTTTTTCTTCTATTCAAGTCCATTCAAATATGAGCTCCTTTTTTACTTTTTACAATGCTGAGGATCAAACTCAAGGCCCCCACATGCTAGTCAAATGCTCTACCACTGAGTTATACTTCCAGTACAAATCTCTTTTTAGGTTGTTGTTTTTGTTTTTTGAGACAGGGTCTTGCTATATAGTTCAGGCTAGCTTTGAACTCACTATGTAGGCCAGGCTGGCTCTCAGAATCCTCCTTCCTCACCCTCCCAAGTGCTAGGATGAGGAACATGTGTCACCATGCCCAGCAAACCTCTTTTTTGTTGTTGTTGTTTGTTTGCTTGCTTTTGTTTTTGTTTTTGTTTGAGATAGGGTCACACGGTTTCCCAGACCAGTCCATTCCCAATTAGCAATCCAGTTTCAGCCTCCTGAGTAGCTGAAATCATCACATTTAGCTAGAATACAAAGCACAGATTTTGTGTCCTCAGCATCCAGAATAGAGCCTACCACATAAGCTTGAACCAAATAACTAATTTCAACAAATGAGTGAATGAATGTGTTATATAGATGAAATAAGTGCCAGTCAGAGAATTGGTGTGAATGTCCCAAAACCACACAGCTAATAAGAGGAAGAGCTGACTTTCTAACCCAAGGTTGTTAGACTCTGCCTCTCAGAATGCACGACAAATGGGAAATTCCTGATAAATTAAACTCTGACCCATTAAACACAAATGCTTTGGCAGTACCACATAGCACACTCAAAGCCCAAAATAGTTAACGTAACTTCCTTAGAAGCTTTTTACACCAGCGACTTGGTATTTAATGGACTGGAGAGACCAGAGGCTCCCAACTACCCCTTTTTCCATCCCTTTGCCAGCAGAACACATGTCTTCACACAGAGCTTCTCTGCGATGCCTGGAATTAAGGCTCGCACAGCGCCCGCCCTTTGGAAGATCAGTAATCTAAAACAAACACTGAGACACATAGGGCTGGCCTCATGAGCTGGCAACCACATGGTCTGATTTTAGAGACTAGGAAAGCTTAGTCCAAAAATATCTACCCCTCCCAAATGCCACAATGCCTAGAATTCCATCATTAGAGAGACATTTCAAAGTTTAAGCACTATCTCTAATTCTGAGTCACTTTGTTTTAGGTATATTCTTTGAGATACTGCATAGTTGTTGTTTTTTTTTAACTGATTTTGAGTTTCTTTTAGTACATGAGTTGCTGTCATTTACATTTATTCACTTTTATTACTATGGTTCTATCAACCTAACTTTCTTTTTTTTTTACTGTTAATGCTTTACTTATATTTGCTTTGTTTTCTTTTACTGTATAACCTGCTTGTTACCTTTTCAATATTAAATAAGGTATTTAACTTTCTATTTCTCAAGTTAACTTCAGATAAAATAGCATCTATTCTTTCCAAGCTAAGAAAGATGAGAAAATTAATCATCTTATAATTCTTCGCACTTTCTTTGCACCTATCCCTGCCCTCTCTATCAACATACACCTTTTGTTACTATGTTATTGGATTTTTCTTCTTTATGGCCCTATTATTACCATTATTGTTATTCTTTTTTAATTTGGTAAGGTTTTTTTTTCTTTCATAGATTTCTTTTAAATGAAATAAAACTAAGCTGGCACCGTGGCACACGCCTGCAATCCCAGAACTTGGGAGGCTGAAGCTAGTCTGACTACAGAGTGAGTTCAAGGCCAGCTTGAACTATACAGCAAGACCTTGTCTCTAAAAACCAAACTAGAGAAATAAATCTTTGGAAGAGGCCACAGGTATCAGACAGCAACATCTTTTGATGAATTAAATAGTCAAATTACTTTTATTTCTTGCAGTGAGTTCCCTCAGACAAAGGACAATGACAAGGAAAGGGGCTGGGGAAATACAAAAAGGAAAATTCAAGGAAAGAAGAAGAAATATACTAAAGCCAGTTACCTACTTTTCTGTTTCACCTTCTGTTGAACATAGAAACAAAGGGGAAATATAATGTAAACTAAATTAACATTCCTAGGGGGCATCAAGATCTCTGATGCTCCTTTGGTGTAGAAGAGGCCAGAAGTAATACACAACTGTGCCCTGACCAAAAGTTGTCGCAGTGTGGGCTGGTGTGGGAGGTGTGCAGATGAAGCAAAGCACTGGATTTTCCAGGGAGTCCTGCACTGGCTCCTTGACATCAGACTTGGAGAGAAAGGACTCTTCCAGCCACAACCCAGCCCACATCACCTTCTGTGCACAAGTCCCTGGCCAGGCAGGCCTGACATCATAGGATGGGGCCTGCACTCAAAAACAACGTCCTGCTCCTTCCATGCGGAATTCTGTCCGAAACTACCCTGGCTTTCTTTTTCTCAGCCCCTTGTGAGAACACAGGAAGCTCTGCTTCCCCAATCCTGAAATATCTGCCTCAGGAAGGAAGGGATATTGTCTTTCCAGGGCCCCTTGCTTGTGAACCAATTCCCAGCCAGCTTTGGAAATGCACCATAAAAGTAAACCAATTCAGATGTTCCTTGCAAATGGCATGTTTGAAAGATAATGTCCAAATCCATTCACACAGCAAAGAAAAATGGTTAGGTCACAAAATCAACACAAATTTTGTACAAACGACTCAGAACACGGCGCCAGAGACAGATTTTTGTTATTGCTTTGTTTAACTTGATTTTTTTAATTGGGGATGATGGACACTATTTCTTCAAGAGAGAAAATATTCATTTTTTTCAATATTTTTGCCTCACTTGTTAATTCACCTTTCACTAGGTCCAAATGAAATTCATGCTTTCTGGAAAGCATACAAACCTTCAGCTCAATTTTATTTTATGATCAATTTTTTCTAAATAAGTAAGCTAAGGCAAAGGATTTTAAGAGGTAAATATAATTGAGTTCGAATTCTCTCGTACTATTAAAATGTTTGTTTGTTTGGTACCTGGGATGGAACTAGGGTTCTTGAGCTTGCAAGGCAGGCAGCATAACCACTGAGTTAAATCCTTGGCCTTAAAATGTTTTAATTAAAAACATTTGCCAAGCTAGGCATAGTGACACATGCCTATAATCCCAGCGTTCTGGGAGGCTGTGGCAGGAGGATTATAACTTCAAATCCAGTCTGGGCAATTTAGTGAGTTAGTAGGACCCTGTCTCAAAAGAAGGGTGGGGAAGGGGTCCCAGGCACAGGGTCCCCAGTTCTGTCCCCGGTACAAAGGGGGGGGGGTGCGGCTTAGTACAAAGGCCCTACTTTCAATCCCAGACTCCCCCAAAAGTGCAACTTGCCGAAGACCAGGGATGTAGGGATGTCTTGTGGCACTGTCTTGCAGTACCGGCACTGTGTGTTTCTGTCAGCCAAAATGGCATTTGTGGCTGACAGCCCCTTCTGGATCCTTACCCATGATTTCTAAGATGCACTCAGGCACTAACTATACTCACACAAACCTTAGGTGGCCTACACTTTGAAGTGCATAACAAACTCACCTTTCTGAGGAAGGCTGTCCCGTAAGGTCCAGAAATGAATTTTTAGAGGAAGCTATGTCTTCAAGTCACTAAATTCCAAGGCCATTTCTCTTTCTGTCTGTTCCTAAGGAACCATCACCACAAACCTGAGATGCTATTTGTACACCAAACAGTAATGCAATTGAAAACTAGAAATTAAACAAAAAACGTTTAAACACTCTGCCTCCTTTCTCAATTCTTATTCCCACGGGCAGTTTCCACGTTTTCCAGCACTTCCATGCTTGTCCTTGTTCCCTGAGTTCTGCTCCTCCCCGCCACCTGGCCCTGCTCCCTCTCATCGCCCACCCAAGTGGCCCAGCCTCAAGTGTCCTCCAGCCCCCAACTGTGCTTCTCCAAGCAGCTCCCAGGGATGTCCCCATTGAGGAGCAGAACAAAAAGCCTTTTACAGACTCTCCCGGGTAAAGGCAGAGTGAGGCAGGCTTTGAGGAGCCTGCCAAGGAGGGCGAAGGCCTTGCTTTGAAAACACTTCTCCAGTTTGCTGACTCGTGGGACTTGGCAAGCCCAGGGAACAGTGCTACAGGGAAGAAAGCCCCTGGAGGGGCCTCCCGGCAGCGGCAGGCAACCCTGCTCTTTTCTTTGGCCCCATGTGACACCCACAAGGGAGCAGGCAGCTTAGGCCTTGTGAATGATTGTTCACAGGGCCCTTCCCTGACTGCAGCCCGTACGCCAGGACACACACCTCCAGACTGCTAAATGGCTGAGAAAAGGACAATGGTTTTCCTGTGATGGTATGACCTGCAGGACTGGCAAGGCAAGGATTGAGATCAGTCAGAGGTAAGCAAGTACGAGTATGAAAAGGAAGCAGGAAAAATCTATCGGCCACAGGAGAGTTTTCTCCTCTGCCCTGAGCAGCATTCGGCCCATGATTCAGTACAAATGAACATCCTTAAGGCAGCCCCGGCTGGTTCAGATGTGAGTTAAATACATGACTTCTTTGTTGTAACTCAGTTTCTTACTCTGTAATACGGGCACAAGAGATGCGAGTTCATGGAAGTCACTCAGTAAAGCCCTGCTGTTTTATTAGTAGGCCAAATTGCAGATCCTAAAAGCTTAATCAACTGACCTCCGGTAAGGGTAACACAAGAGCAAGAATTCAAGGGCAGCCACCTCACCCATTTGTTTATTTTTCCTGCCGTGGGCTAAACTGGCTCCAAGGCCCCAAACTCACAGCAGGCCTGCCTCTTCCTGTAGCAGCGAGGGAGACTGTAGAGGACAGTGTTATTCAAGGTTATTTAAAGGAGGCAAGGACCTACCTTCCACAAAGGGTCCTTGTGCAAATGCAAAGGTGGGAATCAAGGACAGGACTCAGCCCAGGGCAACTCCTTGCTGAAATGTTAGGAGCAAAAAGAAAGCTGGAGGCTGGAGGTGCAGCTCAGTGTTAGACTGATTGCCAAGCATGTGTGAGCGTTCTGGTTCAATCCCCAGCACTACCAAAAAAAAAAAAAAAAA